AAAGATATTGGTTTATGTTTGGTTTTGAATGCTATCCCAACCCCTTCACCACTGTGCTTGCTTCATCTCAGTGATTGAGCTTGACACCAACTGCTAATTCTTTCAAACATAAAATCTTTCTAAATAGCTGCTTTTTAAAAAATTATTTCTGTATTTGTTACTGCATCTTACTTCTTACGAACAGCATACATTTTGTTATTTTGATAGATTATTTTATTTTTAAATGTTAACAAAAAAACAGACCTACATTTGGTCATTTTTTTTTAGAATACTTGTATGCATCTGAAAAAAACATAACTGGGGATGGACATTATCCCTCCTCTTTGTGTTTAATTCTGGCAGAGTGCTTCCAGAACTTGAAACATGATCTCCAAGAGCAGCAAAAGTAATTGAGATATTTGGAGTCCTACACTAAATATATGATATGCCACAGCTTAGGGCAGTACTCAGAAAACTCTCCCCATTCCTCCAAACATGGCATTTAACTAGGTCGTCCCCATCACGTCACACAGGGAGGTATTTATCCAGACAGCAATCCAAGAACCAGACCACTGAACAATTTCAATGTGACTTCTGGAAGTTTTCCCTCCAGCACTCCCTTTTGTCCCCAGTGGTTCTCAAAGCACAAACAGGGCCTCATGCTTCACATCGCAAAACCTCCAACACATCCAGCCCTCCCCCGCTGCTCACCAGCATTCACATGTGAATTTTTACTGGCAGTGCTGACAGTTGCATGTGTAAAGACAGGAGGGCATCAGGGAAGGGCTCTGCTGAGCCCTGAGGAGTCGGGCAGCCTCTTGCCAGCCCACAAATACTTATGGAGCTCCTCTGGAATTGTTGCTGGGACGGTCCTGCAGCAACCCTAGTGTTAAAGCATGACCAGGAATCACTGTTTTCCCTGTTCCAGAACTAACTGAGGCCCAGTAAAACTTCCTGTGCACATTTGCCAGAAGACTTTCTTAAAGAAAGGGAGAAAGAACAGCGGGGACAGCTGTTCATCTTTTTTTGAACATTAAATAGAAAACATCCTCCTGTCTAACGAAGACAGAGAAGTACAGCAGTGTCCACTTCTCTTACCCAACCAGCTGAGAGGCCCAGCACAGATCCGAATGCACTTTCCCTTGATACTGGGTGAACTGACCCACTTGGAGAGCAACGAGTCTGTGGAATTTTGTGCACTCTGAAAATATTAATTAGGGCACCCAACCTGGCTGTGGGAACAAGACAGCATTAAAAAACCCAGTAGGAAAATTCTGGGCCAAATTCTGATATTTTCGGCACAGGGCTCCAAGCAGGGGCTCTCTTGGCAGTGTGGGATGGACACGTACCAGGGCCCTTTCCAGGGGGCAGCCACTTTTCACTTGCCACAGGGACTCAGCAGTGGCCCTGTGACAAAGCTTGAAGTTCCACAGTTTTCCCAGCCACTGGGGAGAAGCTGCACTGACAGATTTCCATGCTTCTGCTGCCATGGCTGCTCAGTGCCCCCTGTAGAGCCCACAGCTGTATATGCCCACCTTCCCCTGCATCTCATAGAGACTGCACATCAGAGGCAGTGGTAGGTGGGGAGATAAGGGGGAGAAGCTTTAAATATTGCCAGGTCAGCGCAACAGGAGGTAAGCAAGTACAGAGGCAGCAAGAACTACTGCAAGTTTTTGATATACTCCCAAGTGGACTCCCCAGTGCCTGTAAAAGTTTCAAAGGGGGATCTCCTTTCTGTGGGCATGGAAATGTTTCAAAGGAGCCCCAATCAGTGCAATGTTTCAAAGACGTCTCTAAAAATTCCATATTGCACCCACTCCAGCTGAAAACATTTCTAAACAGACCCCTTCCTGGCTAGCCACAGCTGAGGAGATTTGTGCTGTTGCTTACAGCCCTCCTACAGCCCCCAGTGTAAAATGAAGCATCCACCATTTGCGTCCTCTGGGGATGTATCCAGCCAGCTCCTTCCCCAGGGACCCTGCACAAGACCCAATATGCCTTTGTATTTGTGCACAGGATAGGAAGGGCTAGAGTGCAGAAGGGTAATTTTTCAAAGCGGTGTGTAGGAGTAGAACTGGAAATTCCCTGAATACAGCTTTGAAAAAAAATAAAACCCCGACCCCCATGAATTATGAGCAGGGCCTCCAGCTCCAGTCTGAGGAGCTAAGAGTTGAAGAGGGAGGCACAGCATATTTAACTGGATGCACGTTTTAAGACTACAGACATCAATACTTAAGAGGTGTTGCTGCTACAGAGCAGGAATTCCTTTGTTGACAGTCACTTGAGCAGAATAAAACTAAGCAAATGCTTAGGATATCTCAACTATTGATTTTGTGTTTCTCAAAGTATGAGAAGAAAGTGATGCTGAGAGGTCTTGGATTATCAAAGCCAAGGGTTTTTTTACCTAAAAATTACATGCCAAGGCTAACTTCATTGTCTTGGCTCACTTCAGATTCAAAAGAGAGATAAAAATCTCTCCCTGGAAATGCTTATCCTACTCCAACTCTTATCTTAGATTGGTATCAATCATTCATTTTCCCCAGACAGCACCTCAATGACTACATTAAACCAGACACCTTAATTTTAGACAGAGACAAGTTCATTGAGATGAGCCTGCCCCTAAGCTCCTGAGGAGAAACAATCAGAGGGACGAGCTTCTCCCTGCACCCCAAACACCCGCACGCTCGCCCAGGGATCCCAGTGCCCCCCCAGCTCAAACAAATCCTCCTCTGTAAATCTTTCATTGACAACGATTACATTAATAACCCCTGTGACACAGCCCTGGGCTGCAGAAACAGCTATATTAGCTTCTTTCTCTCACTGCCCATCTGAGTAGACTTGGTCTACCACAGAGAAGGGAAACTTGCACCCCTTATTTTATGATCAATATCACGGCCTGAGTGGGAAGGAGGCACGTGCCTGTCTCTTCTATGGCCTGAGTAAGGGATCCAGGCCCTCAAGCTTTAAACAAAGGGCACAGCAGCAATCCTGAGAGGCAATTAATTGCTCTCATTATTACTGACTCAGCACAATGCCTATTAACTCCAAAAACATGCACAGCTGGAGAAGCAGTTACATCTAGTCTCTCCTTTCCCCTACAGTTTTCCCCAGTGAAGAGCAAATACCAACAGCAGGACTCACTGAAAACACCTTTTCAGAGGAAGTCACATGTCCTGAAGAAGTGACCCAAGCACATTGTGAATGTCTGAGGTGCTCAGAGTAAGAGGAATCTTGGCTCCATATTAAAGGTTTCTATACTTCACTCTTCGCTAAACTGCACCATAAAACATATTAACGTAATAAACATTCTCAGTCCATATCTCAGCAAAGACATGATCCCACAATAGAATAATCACGTGTTTTTTTACCATGTCTTAGGTGTGCAGAACTGAGTCCATGCACACCTCTGTATTTATAGAGGCTCCTTTGAAATATGTAACTTATGTGCAGCTTCAAGGAAACAATAGGTACGATTTTCACAAACAGTAGCATCACACTTCTCTCAGCCTCCTACATCTTCTATCACTGTTGTTTTCTTGTAGCACTAATAGTGAACCTTGTAATGTCGTACATATTGTGTATTATTCCACAGAGCAGTAAGTTGGGGATACACATAAACACACATCAGTTACTAGAAAATGAAGACATAACTTTCCGAGAGGAAAAAGAACTCCCATCTCGAGTCAAGCAGAACCTTAACTCAGCACTTCAGGACCTTTGTGTTTAAAAATAATTTATTAGATACTGGATTAAGTTGAAACAAGTGTTAGGCTTGCCTGAGGACTTTTCTTTCAGGCTTCTTTAAAAAAAAAAAAAATCTAGAAGGGGAAGCTGTATGAAATCACTATGGTCCAATTAACAAGGATCTCACTCTTCAAGCTTGCAAATAATAGATTACATTAACACCTGCTACAAAAGCAAACATTTTTAGATATCTTCATCTTAACCTGCTTGACATTGACTTCAAACTCCTGCCTGGCTCTCAGATGAAAAATATTGTGACTGACATGTATATTTTGCATTTGGGGGTAGGGGTGTGAATACTGTGTCAGTCTGTATTTTTCTCTCTCTGGTGTTTATGCATAATTCACTTCAGACAATAGGAGTTACATTCATGCATCGATGGGAGAATAGTTTCCTAAATGTAAAAATGTTGAAGAAAAACCATTATGCTTACAGGAGATAAATACTGCATGTGAACATACGAGACACACAGAGTGTGCTGTAGGGTCCTTGAAGAATTTCATCCAACATATGCCTACAGTGGCATGTGTAAGTAACTCCTTTGTGGTCTACGCATCAAAATAAACTGACCTCTGCAGCCAACTTATATATTTATAACATCTGTACAGACAGGAAAAACATTTGTTTGTGTTCATCTGAAAAGCAATCATACAGCTGCAGCAGAAATACAACCCATCAGATTACAATAACACTTTACTACAAACTCTTGCAACAGGACTGTAGCAGAAGGCAGCAAGCACTGATTTTTAAAACACGTGTAAGTCTGAAAAGTTGAACTTTCTGAAGTCCAGAATTGTTGGAAAAAGAAGAAAGAACCCACTGAAATAAATTCAAGTGTTTTGTTTTGACAGTGTTCCTCAGGAATTCGTCACACTTAGCTGGGAAAATGCTAGCAGTTGAATCTATTCAATGTCATGACATACAAAATTGAAACATAATTGCTCCTAAGTGGTTGACAACTGGCAAGTACTTTTTACATGGATAGAGAGAAATTTATGCTATCAAATGGAAGATACTGTCAAAAGTTTGATTTTAATATAAATGAAAATGCTACATGAGGACTCAAAAGGATAAGGAAAAAAGCTCAGCAGTAACACTTTTATAACCACATATTTAAAAAGCTTTGAAGTGAAGAATCATGACATCAAAATCATTTTCCTTGAAAGATAAAAAATATAAATTGCAGCATGAATATTAACAAGTTATTAGAATAGTGAATTTCAAAGAGTAGCAAAAACAAGCAGCCGATGAGTGGCCTAGTTTAAAGAATGTCTTACCAATCATATGGTTAGCGACATGGATTTGTATCTCTCTCTCATTCTCAAAGGTCATCTGGCACTTGATGCATTGATAGGTCTTTTTCTGTTTAATAACCAAAAAGAGATTAGAGAAAACTGTACTGTAGCATAAGGCAAGTGTGATCATGAATATAGCATGTTATGTGCTTCTGTCTTCCTCCATTGAGGCCTTTCCTGCTCACATTTCCCCAACAAAACACCAATTCAGGCTGGGCTTTTCTGGGACCATAAATCCAATGTCTAATTAACAGCCTGCTTTAGGAGAATTTTTAATTTCAACTTTGAACATTTCAAATTCTAGTACTTGAAAATCTGACTGAGTACTTTGGCCATAATCAGATTGCTCATGTCATTTAACCCATTGCAGTAAACATTCCTGCAGAGTGAAATAAAAGACACTGTTTTCAGAAGATCAGCTTTCTCCAAAAATTCCATCTTTAGTTACACTCAAAATACAGTAGGCAAAACACATGTAGTTACTTGAGGAAGTGAAGGACAAAAGGAAAAAACACATTTTGTAATGCTCTCCCATCAGAAATCCTGGACAAACTGCATTACCCCAAAGAATGGTCTCCTAGCACAATCTTTTTTGTATTTTCTCTGTCTCAAAGTCATACCAGGGAGGCTTAGCTGCAGGTCAGGAGATGGTGTGAAGAGGCAATTACATGAACCATTTATTCAAACAGGGAAACTGGCATTTGCACTCAGCGTGACAGTGGTGCATGTACTTGTGCAACATGACAGGCAAAATGCAAGAATTTGTAGAAATTAAAATGTCTGATGAAAACTTATTCGACATGCAAGCTAGGAAGAAGAAAAAACAACAACAACAAAAAATCATGCTAAAATCTTTACACTTGCAAAAACTCTTACTTCCCAAAGTAGAAATGTGGTGCATGCTCATGTACTGCATGGAATATGCCAGCCAAACAGACATCTTTTTACACACAATTTAGAAAAATTTGGCCTTTTGTGCCTACTTCCTAGAGAGTAACTTGTACTGCAGCACTTGCCACCAGGCATGAGCACGACTACGTGGTCTGTATCCTTACGGCTAAAGTGGATGGCAGCAGAAAGGATGAGAAATGTCCATGTGCTGAGCAATAGATGAGCATCCCAGGCCATTAGCTCTGAGATACCGCACGCAGTAAACAACACTCTCTGAACTTTTCTGAGGCAAAATATTTTGCGGCCATTTTTGGTGTGCTTTTAGATGCACATTGTTTTTTCTTACAGCCTCTGCCCCATGCTTAGATATAGAATCCCATTTTGTGGACAGCAGTAATAAGTCAGAAGTTTTGAGTTAAACAGAGGAGTTGCTGTCACCTCCTCTGCGCGTGGGATCCAATTTCCTTGAGCACCTGCTGAGGAAAGAACAAATTAGGTGCTGCCAAGAGCTTCTTAACTACTTCCCATGTCATCAATGGCAACAAGTTAGCCTGCTGGACGTTAACGAACATGTTGTAATAACATCATAACAAATGCACCAGTCTGTGGATGTTATGTGTATTCCATGAATTCCGTATGCAGTGTGTTTGCACATAGGCAGAGCTTTCTAGGCTAAAATAACAATGGGTGATTAACATCAAAATAGGAAGAAGGCTACACTCCGTTGGCTGAAACCTGACACAGCCAACCATATAAAAGAAAATAGTTTGGATTGGCTAGTTATCCCTAGGCAGCTCAAGAAAGAATCCTCCTGGAGTCCATTTGGAAATCAAGGCTGTTAATGGAAAAGCAGCTGGGTTTCTGCAGCACTCTTTCTTGGGAATCTATTCTGGCAGACAAGCACAGTGCACATACACACACATGTCCTCTCAGACACACTGGCATACAAACACTGAGGGCTCCTTACTTTAAAATCAAACCAAAACAAAAAATACCCTGGAAAAGAAAAATGGGATTGGGTGGTGCATGATTCATGTGGTCACATTTAAAACTTGAAACTTTCCCCTTCTTTACAACTTCAAAGCTGACTAAATTCAATGCCTTATGCAACACTTATCTCTGTTATGAGTGTTCCCCAAGTAACTAGCTAAGGACATTACTTTAGCTCAACTCTTATTTCAGATCTTTAAAGTTATATTAAATACAGACAAATGATTCATTTTTTTAATTGATTTCGGTGCTTCTGCAAGCTACTTACTAACAGATCTGGAGACAGGATGTCTTTGTTTATCCACAGACCCAGTGCAAACTCCTCCACACCATTTCACAAACATAAAACACTCTGCGTGTGTGACCACCCCTCAGAGAAGATGGCAGATTCAGACTTCCTCTCAGGATTATCTTTAGCCTCAGCTGAGACATATGCATGGAAAAGAGCAGCTTAACTGAGCCAATGTTCTCTTGATAGGATACCTCACTTGATGCAGAGTGAGGTTAATAAATGGCCTCATACAGGCCACAAAATAACTATAGCTGTATTAGCACTCAAGTGCATATCCAAGAGATGGAAGAGATTAATTTTTGGCTCGTTAACAATTGTCTTAAAAGAAAGTCACAAAAACAGACTTCCATTCTCAGTAAATGGGGAAGCACTAGTTTTACGGCAAGGTTGTATTACTTGTGGTGCCAAATATGATCATCTACTACTGGTTTTGTGGGTATCACAGTTTCATAAACATTATTAATATATCAGTTATCTCTTTTTAAAGTTTTGTCTTGACATGGCTGTAAACAAAGGTGCTCAAACTCTGAGGAGCTAACAGAGTCCACATGACACCATCTAGAAGACTAAGAGAGCAGATGAGGCAGATGAGCAGGCCTTCAGCTGAGAGCTCGGTCCCCATTAAGTCAAGATATTTAATTCTAATCTTGGCACAAAGTAGTAGTATTAACAACAGAGGGTTCTGGTTTCTTTTCTGAAGTAACTATTGTTCCCATGGGTTTTCCAGACTGTACTCCTTTAAATCTGGAAATGGTTTCCTGTTTTACAAAGAAAATATTCCTCATTCAAGTGGATTTACAAGGAAAAGAAGGGGTGCAGGGGAGAACAAAGAGAAGGAATTGAGTCCAAGAAAGTGTGCAAGAGAAAAGGAACTGAGGAATGGAGCACAATAGCGTTCATTCTTCCAACTTTCTATGCCATCTCCTTTGCCTCTTCAGTCCAAATAACCTAGGTGGGCTAAATATAGTAACATCATTCAAGATAGAAATTGAATCAAGTTCTATAATCTTTGCTATTTTGAATGTTGAACAAGCATTGTTCATTAAAACTATGGTACAAAATAAGGATAAATTTTTATAAGAGAAAGAGCAGCCTGAAATGTTACTATTCCCAGGATTACTGAGAAATCTCAGTAGTAAACAACTAGTCATGTTTCTCAAGACATGCACATTCCTCTAGAAGACACGTTAAGAGGAATTGATAACAAGTATTCAGAACTGAAGCTCATATGCACAGAAATATGGTCAGCAAAATGAAAGCGTTGCTTCTGATGCAATCATAACATAATAAAAAAAAGGTCTTGACCTATTCATGTGCCAGATATGGGAATGGTACCTCCACCTGTGATGCTCATCTGAAAAGAACACTTTTAGTCCTATTCCAATAGAATAGCTCATATAGAACTCTAAGAATCAGACACAAACTGATGTTAGAGAAACTTTTACTGAAAGGCACATTTTAGTGACATTTCATACAGAAAACCATTTACTTCACTTAAAGTGAAGTAATACAAATCCTCTGATGGAGATGTTTCCACGTACAGAAGACAAAAACTTTGCCAATCTGAAAAATTTTTTTTCTTGACCAGCATAATTGGATCCTAGTTAGATGTCCTAGAAACATAGGTGATGAATTCATAGATACTTATTCCTGGTTGTTGGCCATACTAAAATGTGAGGAAAACAGAACACAGCAGCATTTTCAAGGGTTATATGTTTTTAAACCCTTTTTATTAATCAAGAGCTAATATTTCTTTTCCTCTTTCCTTCCATTTTGGGTGTGTTTTTTTTTCTGAAATTCCTCTAGACTTGCACACACTCTTCTTCAATTCAAGAAGTATAACTGCTGGTGGAGTGATGTCCAACACCAAAGTAGTTTGGTATTTTGTATGTCATAGTCACCTTTTCCATTTGCTTGGATTTCATTCTGCTTATTCTCATTTCCTCTGAAATATGTGCCCACTATTTAAAAATCTAATCTCCCTATTTTTTTTGGTGACTGTACTTTGTCCTAATCTTCAACTGTTTTCCCATTTAAGAAAGAAAAATCAATAAGGTGTTTTAAAAAGAAATGTAGACCTGCTCAAGGATTGGAGAGAAGCAGCTCTTGCCTGGACATCTGCAGATTACTCTACATCCACTGAGCACTTAGGATTGCTCCAGTGAAATGGTATTTCACCTGTGCACAGCATGATAACAAGATGACAGGAGAGATCATGTTCAACTTGCTTAGCTTTGCTACAAAGCCAGTGAAGTTAAGTAAACTCTATTCTTGAAATACAGGCATTTATCACCATTTAAAATTCTTTTAAAACGTCTGTGCTAGCCAGATACAAAGGGCACTTGTTGCCTTGAGAAACACCAATAGTTTCCATGTGAACAGATATCAGAATTCAGGCCTTGTACCTATAATGAAGGGTAAGATAACGAATTGTTCCTAATAACAATATATCTATTCCTGGGATGCATACCATAAAGGTCTCTGATATTAGCATATGCGGAGGCCATGGACACCTGCTGAAGGGGCAATTTGCCTCATCACAAATGCTGATTTTTCATTATCTTCTACAAAGGAACTAAGACCTGCCCTCATGGGATGAAATTCAAAGCCTTTACCTTATTGAAGAACTTGTAACTCTCCCCTGAGTAGAGAGAACAAGTACAGAAGCCCTCACTGAAAATAAAGAGTTAAAGCAAGAAATCAGAGGAGAAAATGGCCACATGTTCTGCTTCTGACAGTCAAGAGGAAAGAAAAAGTAATACTTTAGGCTATAGGCACAGCAATATGAAGTAAGAATTAGTCCTACCTAAGAGAATAGGGGTGTTTTAAGGAATTTAGACAGAAGTAAAGGCCTGAGGAGGAGGAAGTAGAATGACCTAGCCAGAGTCCCAGCTGAACTCCCAAAAGGCATCACAGCAAAGGAGGGATAATTCCATTCTTATTCCTCTGCAGAATTAGGTATGTGTGCCTGGAGGCTTAGTCACACATTCACACTATGCAGAGGGAAACTATACAAAAAAAATTAAAAAAAAAAAAAAATACAAAGAAAATAAACTTTCAGTGGGATTTGTCAGAAGCCTGGAACAAGGGCTGCGAGGCCAATGGGTGCTGCTCAGCCCAGCCCAGCCAGATGCTGCTTCCCAACATGGCCCTGGAACTGAGCCAGAGCTAACGAGTCCCTCTGGGGACACAGCCTGTACCAGCTGCATTGGAGGTACCTCAGCCTGCATCCTCAGGACATACGTAGGGTCTTCTTGTCTTACTTACTAGCCTCTGGTATTGTAGCTGAATGGTATTTTCAGGTTCTTTTAATGCAGTAAGATGTGTTTGTGGGTGCTTTAATTAGCAGATTGACATAAACAGGCATCTATGGCTGGAATTATTCATTAGGAGTTGGGTGCCTAATTTCCTTAGATACTTTTGAAAATCTCACCCCATCATGTTTAATTAAAAATGTCAGATGATATCAATACTCAGATGTGTCTGCTGTTGGTCTCCTGAGAAGATTTCCAAAATCTACTTCTCATTCCATCTGTTCCTGACAGAGGAAGGACTGACTTGGCCCATTCTTGAACCAAAACATCAACAAATAATTTTGAAAGACTATAAACTGCAAATGATATTAATCTCCTGAGTAGGCTTCTGAAACCTTAGTTGGATCTGCATGTTCCCAACTATCTTGTAAGCTAAGAAATGGGAAAGCAGGCTATCTGCAAACATTAGCAGAGAATATACTCTCATGTAACCTGCATTAGACAACAATTTCCAGATTTGATATGAAAACTACTGATCTAACAGTAGAGCCATGAAGCTGATCCTTTTAGAATAACTTTTAAAATCATACATACACACACACACATCCAAGTAGCCTCACAATTTTCACTCTGACAGACATCCATAAGGACAAGGTCTTTAGCACAGAAATTTAGTTTATGTGAGAATTTGGGGAGTAGGATGAATTAACTACATTTTTCCTCAAAAGCTCCTTTATCCTCCTGCTTGTGTTTAGTCCCCTGTTAATAAATAATCTCACTTGAGTATGATATCAGGGTTTTTTGCTTTGAGTACTCTCAGCAACATTTTTTTTTTTTTTTTTTTTAAATGCCCCATCTTTTCCAGATCTGCCAGTTCAGTAGCACCAGAATTCATGGACAAACTCAATCCCCACTGATCAAGTGTCTCTGTTGGTAAATCTAGGGCAGTTTCATGATAAAAAATCTGATGTGCTGCCACTAGGAATCAAGGTGCCTGCAAGGCTGAGCCGTATCCAATATATCTAAGGTGTTACTAAAACTTTCTTCCTGCTCTGTTGGTTTTTTAGTAGCACAAGTAATTTATAAAGTGACAGTTTAAAAAAAAATAACATCAGATCAGTTCTCAGTCACATTAAAAGTCTACATTTTATGCCTCAGACATTTCAAAGTCCAGCTGTACTTACCCTGGGAACAGGAGACGTCTGGGTACCTTTCCTTTGACCACTAGTTTCAGGCGTCAGGTCTCGGTGGTCTACCTGAATGTGGCTCTCTAGGTCTTCAGCACTTTCAAATTTGACACTACACTCTGGACACCTCAGACTGCCACATGGTCTCTCGTTCACCTCCTGTGGAGTCAAGCCTGAAGACTGTCCATTGGTGCTCCTGGTCATGCATCCAGCACAAAGGCCATAGGGAAGGCCGTTCACATCCAACTTTACCAAGTCCTGCTTATTCCGGAACTCCTTCAAGCACAATGCACACTTGTAGAGTTTTTGCAAGGCCTGGCCGTTGGGCGACGAGGTTGCAGAGTTTCCTGCCAATTTCTGCATATGAAACGTTCCATGAATTTTCAGCTCAAGGGTAGAGGTGACCGTCTGCATGCAGACAACACAACGAAACCCAGTGAGGGAGTTTCTGAGATCTGGATGCATCTGGCAGTGCTCGATAAATTCCTCCTCGCTCTGCAGTGGCATTTTGCAGATCCGACATGTCCCTGTATCCAAACTCTTGCTGTGAGTGACTTTATGCTCTGTGAGGGTCAGGAGTGATGGGAAACGTTCCCCACAGATGGGGCACATGTAGTGCTTAGCTGGACCTCGATGGGTCTGCATGTGCTCTCTGAGGCCATTTTCTGAGAAAAAGGTCCTTGAGCAGATATTACACTTGTGGCTACCTTTGATGAATTCTGCTTTCTTCCTAGAACAGTCATCCTCCCCAGGCCTGATGTTATGATCTCTCAAACGATGGTTCTGCAAGAGGACCTCCATAGTGTAGGCAGCCCCACAAATGTCACAGCCATACATGGGCTCAGAAGCATCTACATCATCCTCGCTGGCTTCATGACTGTTGGAAGTATCTGGATTCTTCATTAACATGTTCTGGATATCTGCCCCTTCTGTCTTCTTATTTGTTGGGGTCATGCCATTAGCTGTACCATTTTCAGCGCTAGCATCAAAAACACAGTGTTTTTCCCGCAAGTGCTTTTCAAGCAAGATGATGGCATGGAAAGCTTTGCTACAGAACTTGCAGTTGTATTTTTTGCTGTGAGTTGTGATGTGGCACTGCAGTTCTACTTCTGTGCTAAAGGTCTCACCACAGAAGATACATTTGTGAGACTTCGACGGATTCCCCAGGTGACTATGCTTCACATGGATCTGGAGATCCACCTCTTTCCTGAAATCCCAGTTACAGGCTGTGCAGCGATACATCTTCTTTTCATTGCTATGCTTGACTGCCAGATGCACTTGGATAGATACCTTGGAATCAAAAACTTCTTGGCAAAGGGTGCAGTGATACAACACAAAAGTATGCATGTCCAACAAATGCTTCTGCAAATCATCCACCGAAGAAAACTGTTTGTCGCAGCTCTCACATACATAATGAGTTGAAGTTGTCATGTAATGTACGGTGAGATGTTGCAGAAGAGACTCCTGGGAATCAAAGTCTTCTTTACACTGAGGGCAAGACTGTTTCCTCAACAGCAACTCCAAATGCAACTTTAAATGCGTTTGAAAACTTTCAAAATTTGAGAACTTTAGATCACACTGATTACACGGGTATTCACCATTAGACACCGAGTTGACGCTAGCAGAAAGCCGTTGCCTTTTAGGGGAAGAGACTTCAACATCAGAAGAAACTGGACTCTGCTCCGCTTTTGACTTCTTATTGTGTGCCAGAGGAATGTTCTTGTGGTTTTCTTTAATATGCTTTGTAAGCTTCAGGATGGAGCCAAAAATGGGGGAGTTTGTGCAATAAGGACATGAATAAACTTCCATAAAAGACTGTGTTGGCTGAATGACAGGGGAATCCAATTTTGAATTTCCTACATTACAGTGAGTCTGCTGAATATGCTCAGTCAAGGTTGCTTCGGTCAGAAAGCCCATGGAGCACTGATTACAGAAGAAAGCATTGTTGCCATCTTGAGGGGTAGCATTTGGGCCACAGTGAGTAATACGGATGTGTTCTTGCAAGCTATTGATATCTGCAAACATCTCTGGGCAGTAGTTACAATGAAAGGCAGAAATGTTGCTAAACTGCATCATGGGATAGGCATGGTTTTTGTGCACCTTTCTCACATGTTCATTCAAGTTGTACAGTGTAGGCATGGAATCGAGGCAGATCTGGCACGTGTGGCTTTGCTGAGGTTTGTCTGCATGAATGGTCTTCAGGTGGATCTCCAGAACAGCAAGGCTGTTGAAATCACGCTTCGAGCAGTACGGGCAGCTGTAAGTAACTTTAGACCAGTTCTGGCCTTCCTCTCTGTCCACAGACCTTATTTTCTTTTGTCCTCTCAAAGGCTTTAAGGTCGAATCTGGGGTGGAACCTCTTTCCACTGATGCGCTGGAGTCGGGCGTTGCGCTGCTCATGGATGCCACGCTCCCCAAGACCGGGTCAGGGCTGATGCTGTGATTACTGGAGTCAGGTTGTCTGTGGCTGTCCAAGTGGCAATAGACTTCCTCCACTGAAGAAAACTGCTCTGGGCACATAGGGCACTTGTGTTTTTTGTTGGCATGGGCTTGATGAATGTGTGAGAGCAGCGAGTTTTCGTCTGCAAATACTTCAGGGCAATGAATACACTGCAAATCTGCCTTCTCAGAAAGCTGTGGGTGGCGTGTCATTACGTGCTTCTCCAAATCTTCGGTCTGACTGAATGTCTCTTCACAGTAATCACACATAAAATCATCCTTCTTCACCTCTTTCTCATTCTTTGCCATATGTTCCTTGTTCTTTTTATGAGCTTGCATGTGACTCTGCAACGAGCTGGTAGATGAAAACCCACGCTTACACACAGTACACTTGAACGGTTTGCTGGAGCTGTGGGTTTTCAGGTGGATTTTGAGGTGGTCGCTGCGAGAAAACGCAGCCTCGCATTCATGGCAATGGTACTTTTTATCCCCTGTGTGAAGCTTTATGTGGCGATCCCTACTCCTCTTGTGCTTAAAAAGCCGGCTACAGTAGGTGCATTTGAAAGGTAGTTTGTCACTGTGGATCTGCTCGTGCCTTTTAAGGTAGCTCAGGCGAATGAAGGACTTATCACAGAACTGACAGGGATACGGCAGGCCAGTCCCCCCTTCCTCCTCCCCGATGCCAAGATCACACCCATCTCCTATCATCTGAGTGGGTGATGCAACATCTTTGCTGGAGGGAGATGAAGCCACCCAGGAGAGTTGTGGGTCGTCATCACCATCTGTAATGGGAAAGCAGAAAGGAGATTAAAAACAATTCCCAGTGCATCTGTGAAATAAGGACAAAGCTCTCAACAACACTATGGGCTTCTGCTACTACAGCATTTAAAAAAAAAAAAAAAAAAAAAAAAAGAGACCAAAAAATCTCTCTTGAATTTCAAAGGAGATTTGAGAATAAGAAATAAAAGTCTATTTGTACACATAATTCACAAATAAGCCAACATGTAGCATTAATAAAAAATACTTTTCTTTAGAAGGTTTAACACCTGCTCACTGTACTGTGAAACAATAAACAACAAATAAAGAAAGCAAAACACAATGTGCAATGAAGCAAAACAAACATTTTGAAAAAGCTACAGTGTTAAGTGATCACCTGTGATTTTGTGGGTCTTTTTAAATGCTACATTAAGATGATTTTAAGTCATGTCTCCATTAAACAAAATCCTTCAGTTCTGCCTCAAAACTGTAACAGAATGAAAGATTGCTCAAAAGCAGAGTCAAACATCTAGGGGAAATAAAAGCATCAGATTTGAGACAGCTCAAACAAAATCAGAGAAGAGACCTGCACCATTACCACACTCATTCATATGAAAGGTAATGTTGCCTGCCTGATACAAAACCAAACAAATTAAAAGAGCCCAGAAAATCACCATTGGAGATCTCAAGACACCACAAAACAATCAACTGTGATTCTGTAACTTCAGGATAAACCAACAATGGCCCAGCATCTGTTTTAATAAGTATTTCCTTTGCTCAATATGAGGCTTTGGAAAATATTTTATAATTTGATATTACCATAAAGAAACACAGCACTAGCTCCAGCAGCAAAACAGTCATTTTAGGAAAAATACATAAAATGTTGGCAGCTTTCATAAACAGAATTGTTAACAAGAAACAGAAGAGAATGAGTTCAAATATCCTAATTCCAATAAATGCAGAGATGTTGAGTAAAGCAAAAAATGTCACTAGTCTGAGATAAAACTGAACCATGGAATGAAGCAAAAATAAAATGCATGTAAATAAGGGAAGGCGCTGACCACATATACATTTGCAGATTCAAAAAAGGAACCGGCTCTCCAGATATGTTGTCCTTATAAAACATTTAATGTTCCTACTTCAGCTCTTACTAAAACAAACCAATAAAAAAATCCCCAACTGTGTGTGTAGGCTGCCACACGCGCACTCCTCGTGCCTGCCAACTGCAGTCACCAGGCAGAGAGGAGCACATGTACGGCGGAGCAGCTCTCAAAGAAAGGCTTCGGCTAATGAGGATATCACCACTGTAAGAGGCTAGCTCCTGTGGCACCGTTTCTTTGGCAAAGACCTTCCTTTTCAGCCCAGGAAAAGAGGAAGTGGAGCCAGCTTGGACAAACTAAACCAAACACACCAGTTTTTCCAGCACAACAGGGCTGACTGTTTCTGGGATACAGGGGTTGGGCGCCTTCCCCTCGCCCCACGCGCCCCAGGGAGCTCCACTCCCCTGTTGAACTAAACCTCCTGCAGCAGAGACACTGGACGGTCAGAAAGCCCTTCCTCCCACTCCCGAAATGCACCGTGACCCTCAGCGAGCACCCACGCTTCTAAGACGCTCCAGGTCTTTGTGCTCAACAAACTCCTGCAAGTCTAGCTGAGCCCGAACCTAAAACACAGGCCACGAGCCCCTGATTTTAACATAAACTTTCCTCAGGCTTTATTCCCCCAGACATGAGCCAGCCTCTCTCTGCGGCTGCAACAAAGCCTCCTGTTCCAACCTGAAGGCCCCTCCACCACCCGCCCGGCTGTCGGCGCAGCTTCGCGCTGCCCCCGGGGACCCCATGTTCCCCCCATCCCTGCCGGCAGCCGCCTGCG